ACAAGTTATAAATTCGAACCCGAGACCCCAGGATTACAAGGCCAGCGTTCTAACCGCTAGACCACCATGGCGGTCTTCAGACATACAGTTTTCTAATTTGTTTCAGAAACGTCCCACAGAGCATATTCATTAGGGTTCGATACAGAACCACCACGGCAACATGTTGTCCTTCGGAGGAATCTGACATCAGATCCTGGGGCGAATACGCGGATTGCATTACGCCACAAAGCTGTAGGAATTAGGGAAAGTGTTTTGAAAGGCAGCCAGAACGTGGCTACGGAGTGTTGTTGTTGTTGTCACTTACTATCATCATCATCGTTGCTACGAACGGTGCACCGGACATCATACAAGCAGCGCCTATGGGTAGATCTTCGATACAAGAAACCTGGTTACTTTAATCATCACTTTCTTTGAAGATTGGCTCAAAACAACTTAGAGCCCATGCATTCTCAGTAAACTGTTCCAGATTCACGAACCACTCAAGCACCTGATGGTCGCCGTCTCTAATTACCGACGTGCAGAGGTCGAAAGCCGAGGCGCACAACGTTAGGGGACACGTGACAACTATTAATCTCTACCTGTGACGAATTGTTTCAATTTCTCGCTTTAAAAAATTGATGTTGAAATTCATACCGGCGGCCTGCGGGTTGTGAAGGAGCGCAGGTCCAACGCGTAATGCGTACGAGTACAGTGGCGATTAAACAAAGGGACGAACACAACATTCCAGTTTGACTAAAATGAATTATTTGAATCAGAAATTGGCGGAACGAAGACCCACTCGTACGCCGAAGTCAAAAGGTCATCGGGCTACGCCGTAGGGAACACCGACAATTGTCAACTTCTCTTCTAGAACTTCGTCTTAATAAACTTTCACTATTTTAGCCCGACAGCGAAAGTTCATTTATCGGCCATATTACCTTCCGACAGATACGCACAAAAAGTAGGCCCAATGTCTTCATTGCGAAGGCTATGGTAACTCGCTGCCTCACCGCCCCAGCGCCACTGGTCTCTGCCCTAGACAAGGTTCAGTCCACTTTAGAATTTCGCCATCTTCCTGCACGTTTCAAGACGATTTCTCGTCTCCCACATTTGAACTAGTTAGGCTACACGCCTAGCAGTAACAGCCGCTCGACAAAGCCCTGATCCACGTTGGGGAGAAAACAAAATCCTATACTCCAAGCAATTTGAGCAATTGACTTAATACTGACATGTCCTGTGAACACGTCTGGAAGCAATGATTGCTTTCATTTATTGAAAAATTCAAGAAATTTTACCGAGAGACAATTTCTTTGTTTGCCATCAGCCTTTCGACTGGTGTGATGTGGTCCTCCATTTTCGTCTGTCTTGCGCCAATCTCTTCATTTCCACATCCTCAAAAATCTGCGTCACATTCCAATCTTTGTCTCCCCCTTCAACTGTTCCTTCCATTACCAAATTAACCAATCCTGGGTGCCTCAGAATGTATCCTACCATCCTATCTCTTCTTCTCGTAAGATTTTTCCTTCGTCTGTCCTGTCTAAGCCCAGATCATTGAGTACTTAATCAGTCCACTTAATTTTCAACATTTCAAATGCTTCTACCCTCCTTCTTTCTGCCTTCCCCACTGACCACGTTTCGGTTCCGTAGATCGCTGCGCTCAAAACACATAATTTCATTAAAAAAAACATACAATGAAAACACGAAAAAGTCAGAGATACTATAAACTTTTTTTCTAGAATCGCATTTGGAGTTCAACAAAACACTCCGATTACACTTGACAGTAAAATGATTTAATAAAATAAACATTATAACGATACAAGACCAGAGATTACTACAAACAGAACGCCGACTGATATCAAAACAGCGGGTTCTAAACTTTAAGACTCCGATGGTCACGCTCTCCTGCAGGCACGAACTTGAACACTATTTTTGGCGTCAGAGTCTGTTCGTCCCGCAACTTACCTCGGCCCTCAGTACTTTGCCCTAGGATACACTGAAGCCACTGAGCCCCCCCCCCTCCCCCCCAAAAAATGCAACAGGTAAGATCACAAGAACATCGCGGCACTGAATCTGCTCTCCACATAACCGGAAACACAACTCTGTGACAAAGTTCCGGAAGATTCGTTGGCTAGGCCCGTCTTTACCCGCCGTTCTGCCGACGAAGCTTAAAAACGCTCTTTATTTTCCGTGATTTTCCTCTAAAACTATCCTCGTTTCCAGCAAAGAGCCTAGAGGTAATGGAGATTCTGTACTCTGGAAGGCTGAAGCTTCGTGGAACGAATTTCAAAAACCACTTCGGCAAAAAAAGGTAATGTATTATCTGTGACTTATTCTCGGAAACGAATATTTCCGTGGCCACCTTCAACTGACCGCTGGGGCTCGATTTCCAGGAGCCACGGGGTAGAACTCCGATCATTAATTACGTACAATAATTCAGCCAAAAATAACACGCAATTCTGAATTTACGCTCCTGAATGTCGACTGAAAGAGCGAAAATGAATTATTCATCGTGTTTTCTTGTCGGTGGAAACTTCGTTTTATACTCCGGTGAGTTGACGCGGCAGAAACCAGTTGTTATTAATTAATCACAAGGACACACAGCCTTCGAAACCAAAACCAAACACCGAACTTACGCTACTTCTTATTCGTAGTTGATCAATGAATGGGAAGGGATGCGGCAGGAACCGGTCTTAGCCCAATTTAAGATGTCATCCCGACATTTTCCTTAAGCGACTGAGGCGAGCCGGTCTCCAGGCCAAGATTCGAATCCGGGACCTACCGAATTCGAAGCAGGAGATGCAATCACTCAACTACGCCTCCATCATCAGGGCGATGGGAGCAAGGACGTCGACAAAACTTCCTCCAGAGTACTCGGCCACCTTCGTACTCACCGAATTGAGAACCTGAAACCCTACTAGTGGACCGAATTTGCTCTTTCGGATAGGTTATGGTTTGACATTGAAAATACCTCTCTCTTCCTCTCTCTAGAGACACAGATCGATTTCAGATTCTCAGAGTACGAAGCTGTCCTCCGCGATGTACCGCCATTAGTCTGGCCGGGGATGGCATGAGGCCCTCGAAGGCCACGGGCATTCCAATTTCGAAGGCTCTTCAGTGTATCAAAATTATCTGCGTCTAACCTCGCTCAAAGAACAGACGCTTATCACAAAGACTTTTTTTTCCGTAGGATCCGGGCACAGAGTCCACTCTGCCTATTGGACGATACAGCCCCGAGAGACAGGAAAAACTTTAGCGACTTTTCACATGTCCTTGCTGCCTCCACGTCATGGCGGGCCGATGTGGTGCGACGCGCTCCGGCCCTACGCCAACGCCACGACGTAATTACTACCTGGTCCACAGTTTACGGCGTATATAGACAGTGTCATACAACATTTGAATAACAACGCCATTACAAGAAGCTGTGACAACTGGACGAAATATAACATACAACAAAAATAATGTGACTGGTTTTACACGTCTCTCAAAACGCATCTCTACCCTCTCCAGCGGATAACACAAACAACAAACAACGATGTTGATATTCTATGAAACAAATGGAATATATTTCTGCATTTTTAATCTAATTTAATTTTAATTTTCCTCGGATTCCACTGTGACGCCAATGAAAATGGCGAGGGACACACTCCGTACGCCGCCTACCGGCGATAGCATTCTCGCTTTAAACCAGTCACTCAATATGAAGCAACTGCACGAGACTTAAGACGGAACGAACAGCTGTCCCGGGCATCGTTTGTCGTATGTCGTCAATGCGAGCCACGTGACAACAGGTGAGAAAACGAGACGTAACAAGAAAAACGCAAGAAAGGAGGGTAAAAACGGCCTAAGACATGAAGTCTGCTTGGCTGGAGCGTAGAAAAGCAACCGAGAGTCACTGGAACAATTTCCAAACACATCGAATGACCACTGCGAGTGCCAAAGTCTTGACAAAACGATCATAAGCGAGACAAGAGCGCGCGTGTTCCTCGCAGTTCCTGACTGACGTTCCTCCTGGACTTTGACGGCGAGTAAAATCTCTTCTACTACCGCGCCCCTGAGACGTATGCAGCCTGGAAGTCATGTGCTGCAGTACCGAGAGACAAGACAACGCCACAGCGAACGGCGCAGAGCAACAAAGACGTGTGACAAATAGCTTTCTGATCATGACCAATGTCATCCAATCAAAAATAAGGGGATTACGCATGCGCACATCACTTACCTACCATGCCGCCTTTGTCACAAGTATTTAATGAAGTCTCGCGTTGACTATTTGCCACCATATTGGGCGCGGAACCGCTTCAGGGATTAACTCAGGTTATCGTAACCACTTCAGGAATCAACTCAGATTGTCGGAACCGCTTCAGGAATGAACTCAGACTGTCTGAAAGGCTTCAGGAATCAACTAAGATTGTCGGAACCGCTTCAGGGATTAACTCAGGTTATCGTAACCACTTCAGGAATCAACTCAGATTGTCGGAACCGCTTCAGGAATGAACTCAGACTGTCTGAAAGGCTTCAGGAATCAACTAAGATTGTCGGAACCGCTTCAGGGATTAACTCAGGTTATCGTAACCACTTCAGGAATCAACTCAGATTGTCGGAACCGCTTCAGGAATGAACTCAGACTGTCTGAAAGGCTTCAGGAATCAACTAAGATTGTCGGAACCGCTTCAGGGATTAACTCAGGTTATCGTAACCACTTCAGGAATTAACTCAAATTGTCGGAACCGCTTCAGGAATGAACTCAGACTGTCTGAAAGGCTTCAGGAATCAACTAAGATTGTCGGAACCGCTTCAGGGATTAACTCAGGTTATCGTAACCACTTCAGGAATCAACTCAGATTGTCGGAACCGCTTCAGGAATGAACTCAGACTGTCTGAAAGGCTTCAGGAATCAACTCAGATCGTCGGAACTGCTTCAGGAATTAACTCAGATCGTCGGAACTGCTTCAGGAATTAACTCAGATTGTCTGAAAAGCTGCAAGACTTAGATCCTATTGACAGAGTGAGACATAAGAACTTACTGGCGACGCGAAGATGAGCGGATCGGGAGACTAGAGCGCCCACGGAGTTGCGGGCCACGCAGCGGTACAGTCCCTGGTCAGAGGAGCCTTCGTGTTGCGGACCGCCGCGTTTCCACAAAACCTGCAAACATGAAAATAAAAACAATGTCTTGACAACGCTGTGAAATAAACAATTACACGAATCAGAAGATGCAACAAAATAAACAGCGCTGCATTCTGGTTTTCAGTGCACCCAGGCATAATCATTCCACAGAGCACAGAGCGCGCGTGTCGGAAGATCAGAACCACGAGAAGCCTGTGCCCTAAACAACACAGAAACACGATCACCAAACATCCATGCCCAAGACGAGGACCCTTGTGCTGTTGACAAATTTCTGCCAACGATACATCAACTCCTTCTTACACATAAATTAACATCTGAAATCTTAACATCCACGTCTACTCTACTCTTATGACTTCATAATTCATTGTCAGGCGCTTACAAAATTTTACAAAAGACGGAATGAATTTTAAATGCAACTGCGGTGCCTCCGTCAGGTTTAGTTTAAATCGGGCAGAGCCGAACACGAGACTCACCTTCTTAAAGTAAAGTGAGCCGTTGGACAGAAGATGTCGGCGGGAGTCGGAGACTAGCGGAAGGACCTCACCGTCATGAGTCCAGCTGATGTTTACCGGTCCGGGCGCCGAACTGGAGACAGCACACTGCAGGACTAGAGGCTTGCCGCGTACTGCCACCACATCCTGGGGCTCCAGGGTGAACTCCAGAGTCAATTGTAGCCCCGCCGCACCTGCGAAGTCATACAAAATCTTTTCACGTCATCCACACCGAGGAGAGTACGAAACAGGTCCGTTTCGCAGTCACTACACAGATCAGTTACCTTCGATAAGCTGACTGTGGCCCAGCAGGTCAAGCCATTATCCTTAATCTTATGACACACGAATACTCAGAACACTTCTCCACCGGGCCTTGTCCTTAGAAACCCAAATCCAGTTAGTTTCATTTTAATATTATCCTCCCATCTGTTACTGTCTGTCCAAAGTGGTTGTTCCGAAATAAAAACACAAAATCAAAACGCGCTTCTACGTGCATCGGTGGGGTTCAGTGCTCAAATTTCTTTCAGGCACTTTTACACTAGACACGAACTCAGATCATAAACGAGCCGCGACAAGGATTAAGACGAAATCGAACTTTAAAACGATGACATCGTCTCTAAATTAACTGTGAAAACGTGGGGCTTCGAGCAAAGAAAACACAATAACCTAACAAAAGAAATCCCGAAATATAAACTCTGTGTTACTCGGATAAATACTAAATTTACCGCAGGCGGTAATCATGGGTTACTGCAGACAGTAAGCTGACGTCTTCTTGAGTACCTCATAGTCGCTCAGACAGCCAAGAACTTGTCCGTACTCTATGGAACCAGAGAATTCATTCCCGTGTTCACAAAAAACTGGTGCATCGTTGTTACAATTCTATCAGCTCATCAAGAGTTAAGAACACAATTCTCTACCAGATTTAATACCGCTCAGAGCCAGCTTCTCGTTACGACACATTCATCACTGAGTACGAATGCACACATTTCCCGTCCAAGCTTTTCAGATGAGATGCTTAATCATTAAAAAGCGAGCCCAGACCCGAATAATTTGTCAGCTGCCTTCATGCGTCGACAAAACTTTGCACAAAAGTTTCGGAACGCGGCCCACAAATTACCCACATGAAATCACGTCCTGTAACTAGACATTTAATTAGATACTTCACGCAAGTCCTGAAAACATCACGTATCATTAATACGAATGTAATATACAGAATTATAAACATATCCATTTTTAATCCTTTAAAGCGTTATGAGTTCCTCAGTGCAAACACAGATTACTTCCTTAATCAGCGTCAACAATTTGATCTCTGTAATGAAGATGCTTTGATTCTCTGACGCTGGAAAGGAATTCGTAAGCAATGTTTAGATAATCTTCGGACTGACGAGGATAAAATAACAATGTAAACGTAATTAATAAATCCTTCGAAAATGTAGCAAAGTTCAAATATTTGTAAGTGACGGGAAAACATCGAAAATTGCATCCAACGAGAAATTAAAATTAAATTCTTGGGAAGAGAGTTACCACGCATTTCAAGACCGAGTCTCTCCGACAGCCTTACAAGGCTGTGAAGCTGTCCTGGTCCCTCACGTCAAGGAAATAACGCAGATTGAGGGTGTCTGAGGGGATGGGGGTGGGCGGGGCATGTAGCTTGCACGGGGACACGAGAAATGCGTACACAATTTCGGTTAGGAAAACAGGGTGTCGAGCGCCCGGGATAGGAATCGGCGGCGGGCGACCTGATGAGATACTACTAGCTTCTCAAGGAGGATACGCTCCGTGGTAGGAGGGGGCACATCCGCGCAAACGTCAGAAACTCAACGCCGTGTTGTCTAATCAGAAAGTTTACTTTTCAATTCGTTCGGCACGCCGCAATGTCGTTGACACCGAAGGCGGATTCACGAGACCCTGCTTTCCTGAACATGTTAGGAATGTTACAGAATCTAGTTCTGAGTTCGAGTTCAAACCCCAGAGATCCAACCAACCAAATTCTTTTGGAGAACTTGCCTGACGGGATAACCTCCCATCAGCAGCAACAGATCCCAGTTGGAATGGTCGAGGCTCCCGCCACGGCCTTGCCCAACACAAGTTAAAAATTCGGGCACCGCCGGGAATCGAACCCGAGACCCCAGTATTACAAGGCCAGCGTTCTAACCGCTGGACCACCTCATCTTATTATTATTTAGTGTTCTGTCTGACGACAGGTCCATATGAACAGGATCCTTCCATCCTTTTCTCTTCTCGGACTGGGACCTGTTCATATACGTTCTTGGCAGATGATCCAGAAGTGGCACCACCGTGGCGGTACTGTACTATACAATAAAAATCACGCAGCTGTTGAGTTATCAGCGTCACTATATTTTGAGCAACGCCGAAAACGTTCCAAACGGCCCAGCACAAGATCCGTCCGACGTCTAGCTCGGGCGCGTAATGTTTCCCGTCGTACACGGCAAACCTCGCCGTTCTCAAGAGATGTACGACAACCTGTGGCGACCTCTAGAATTCACATCGTGAAGACGTGAAATATAATTAACACCGCGACACACCCCAACAACTAAAAGACTTCAATAAACAAGTCATTTCACAAACGAAAAACTTTCCGTCTGAAAATGGTCGTCTTCTGGTTGCAGCATCCCGTAGTCTGGTAGAAGTTTATCGACGTTTCAGAGGTATCTGCAGAGTCAATTTTCCCCTCATGATTGAGGCAGAAGGTACCTCTGTTGTGCCGACCGAAGACGCCAGAGCGTGGAGCGCCGCCTCCATGCCCCCCACACGCCGTCACGCAGCTCTGATTAGGCAGGCAGGAAGTGCAGCGACACTCAGCCACTCCCACACAGCGAACATGACGTCAGTAACTCCTCTGGTAACAATCCAGTTCGTTCGCACTTCAGCGCCGGGGCGGATGCTGGAGCACTTTCCGAGAAAATCACAAAAAACTGAAGGTTCAGTGGTGCCAACTGACGGAGGCAAAATGTCCCGCGGTGCCCAAACTCAGCTTTCCGGCTGAGTAGACATGACTCCCACTTCCTATTCAGGTCACAGGTTCACATCTCGGCTAGGAAACCAGCTACCTTGGCTGTTTCCGTGGTTTTCCTCACTCACTCCAAGAAACTGCCAAGATAGCACTCAAAATTATGCCAAAAAAATCTTTCTCGTCCGCAAATGAAGTTCGACGATCCGTAATAAAATGAAGTATCACCTTCAAAATGGCGCGCATCCAGTCACAATACAGACATCTGTCGCTTTGCACATCATATTAAACAAATCTAACTCGAAGAGTAAAAACACGTGCGTATTTCACATCTTGGCTTCCTGAATCACAATAAGGGATTCAGGAACCTCCCGAATATAACCCCCCCCTCCCCCCCTCGAACGCTGGTCGTACAAGGAATTCATGTCAGGACGTCGACTTCGTCAAGAGAAACGCAGTCTCCTCGAAGGTGTTGGGGAATTCTGCTGTGAAACATTTCGGGTCACCAGTACGAGGAAGTGGTCAATTGTGTTAGCCATCGTGAAACCTCGGCTTCTCGACTCGCTCCACAACACAAAGCATCCCTGCGATACATGAGATCACCGGTTGGCCTACAAATCAATTATCTCCGGCAACCTTCAGGTAAAACTGAACTATAATTAAAACACAAAACATGGATATTAAGAGCAAAATAGTAAAGTCGTTCGGCCACATTTTACGTGACAAATATGGCGGCTACAAGAACTGAGACAAAGGTTCAAAATAGTGAATATGGCAAACACACCTTTCACCAACGCCTGTAAGGACGTTCTAAAACTTCAAAATATTCCTTTTTTCAATAAAATCTGTGAAATTCCCGTCGTGGAATTAATAAGAAATTGAAAAAGTTACAGATAATGCATAATCACTAGCCACGGTGATCTCGCGGTTAGAACGCTGGCCTTGTAATCCTGGGGTCTCGGGTTCGAATTTATAACTTGTGTTGGGCAAGGCCGTGGTCTAGGCAACACGGAGTTTTCCTCCGTGGCATCCCAACAATTACTCCATTCACACACAGAAGAAGGCAATGGAAAACCACTTCTGGATCATCTGCCAAGAACGTATATGAACAGGTCCCAGTCCGAGAAAAGGATGGAAGGATCCTGTTCATATGGACCTGTCCTCAGACAGAACACTAAATAAATAAATAATGCATAATCAGAACAGGGATATGGTGTGTGAAAACACTTTTTATAAGCGAATGGTTCAGATTAGTACAGATTGCATGAAAACCATTCCTCACAAACGTTTCATTTATCATAAATAAATCACGCATAAATCAGGGGGGAAAAGACACAATGTTCACATAAAGTGTCAGAAATATCTACCGCGTTCAGCTCTTCGCTCGTGTTCATTTCACCAGACGCAGGAGAACCGGGAAACGCATCGCTGAGCTCATCCTCTCGAGTTAAGTAGGAACGAGATGCCAGGCAGTGTTCGACGACGAAAAAGACATCCTCACACTTCGACTGTCTGAAGACGACTGACGGACTGGCGCGAGAGCAGGTTACGACATGACGTGAGCCCTAGTGCACAGTCACAGCGCCGTTGCGTGTCTATTAATCCGACGGAAATGCATTGAACTGCAGCCGTCAATAAGTGTTTCGTGAGTTTCCGGGTATTCCACGACGAGCGATCCGTCGGGGGCCTACACGTCTGTTGTCGAAACAAAAGAAAGTTCGAGGGTCTTTCCACTGATCTCAAGGCCTCGCTTACTGACGTCATCAACACGAAATTGTTTAAGGGTGCGTCGAACATCGTCGGCTTGAGATGCTGATTTGAACGGCGTCTTTATAATTCATCGTTCAGGCGAAACAAAGCTGAATTTTAGTCCACTCTTTACGTACATTATATTTAATGACGTTTATGCAGTTGAGTGGCTGACTGAAGTACTCCAAACCGACTATGTTCACTAATTCCCGGTCGACACACACTGGACAGAGAATTTGTCCATTTGAAGACGGTGTCCCCGGCGTCGTCAGCTGGCCTCTCACGTTCTGCAGTCCGTCGGTGTCGGCCTCCCGGGTCGTAACGCAGGTAGGCCCCGACGTTTCGGAGAACTACACTGATAGACACCGACACCTTCATTGCCGCGGAAACCTCAAACCCCAAGTCTAGCGGTACGGCGATCTGGCAAATAGTCAAGTCTACAGGCCTACTTCTGGGCGTCTCCCCCCGTCTATT